GGGGGGGGGGGAGGCAACGAGAAAGGGAGAGTGAGAGGGCAGGAGGCGCACAGGAAAGCTTTTGGATTTTGATCCTAGGTTTCAACATGTGAGGATTTCCCGACTTCGTAGAATCACATTTGGTAATAATGGGGTTGCACGGCTTAGAGAAAATTCGAAGATGTGGCCTCCGCCCGACAACTCAGGGGCCTTCCTGCCCGAGTACAAGGCAAAGGGTATCGTCGAGCAGGATCCCTTTGTGAGCCTGGATCAGGAGAGGATGTCTAGGGTTGAGGCTTGTAGAGGCTTATCCGTTAGATGCGTTAGAGGAGGTATTCGGTGCTCTTATATAGTCCTTACCTAATCCTCACTTGAACACGCAGCAAAATCCTATACCTTCAGGCTAAACACCCGCCGGCCCCCACAAGGAGGGCGTTGGCGAGCTGATCCAGATCGCAGTGGAGCGCGGTCGCCGCAGCCGTTCGGGCATGAAGATGGGCATCTGCGGAGAGCACGGAGGTGCCTCGGCTCGGGGTTTGGGAATTCGAATTCGGTGTTGATGGATTGGGGTCTGGGGCTTAGTGTTTGTGGGCTGCATTTCTTAGGATTCATCTTTTTTTGCTCTTTATTGTGTTTGCTTTCATCATATGCTAATAGGAGGAGATATGAGAAGGATAAACCTCGAGACAAAAAAGGCGATCCGGCTTCAATCGAGTTCTGCGAGAAGACGGGTCTGGATTACGTCTCTTGCTCGCCCTTCCGCGTGCCCATTGCTCGCCTCGCTGCAGCCCAAGCGGCATTGAAATCCCAGGGCGAGAAGGCGCTCCAGCAGGGCGTAGGGATCAGGGAGGTACATAACTCCATATCACATATCCATTGCTATAGGAATTCATGGTAGGCCATTTCCCCTGTCTCAGAAAGACGGCCCTGAGGCTCTCCAGGCCTCCACGAAGGCTGCCCGCCCCAGGCAGCAACAGTTCGGCCCCTGGTGAGTTGGGCTCTCTGTCGACCCTCGCGACTCCCATATATATTGTTTATGCTCTGGGTACCAATGACTGCCCAGTGCCCTCGTCTCAAAATTATTTTCAGTGAATCCTTCATGTGCTGCATCGACACACAGCTGCAGCATGCACGGATTTTTGTTTTCGTCAGTTTTGATTGCAGGGCACAGATACTGCAAGGTAGCTGACGTCCAAAGTACCATTTAGGAACTCGACGCCCGACGCCCTGGCTGGAGCTTTCAACAAATCCAGCGCAGGAGCTGTCCTCTGGAAGTTATCAAAAAACAGTGGGACCTCAAACGGCGGCATGTAAGTACGCACCTAATGAGCGACTTCCATTTTTGGAACTTCCCTGGTGTGTCATGGCCATGGAGGCTGCCTCTTTCAATAGGCCTCAAAGCAGCGTGGCAGCAGCTTGGCGTTTAAGTTTAAGAGTTTGAGACGACCCGCCATCGGCAGAATGCCCAAAAGATTGTTGAACGGTAATGTTTATCTGCATGGAATCAGCATCATCATCATCATCATCATAATCGTGGCAGTAGCAGCAGCAGTGCAGTAGCAGTACGTAGTAGCAGTAGTAGCACTCGCAGTAGCAGTCGGCTCCGTTTCTCCGCCTCGCTTCATCTTTGCCAGCATCACAATAGTAGTATCGTTGTTCTTATCAATAGCAGTAGAAGTAGGGGTCGTAGTCGTCATCATCGTCATCGTCGTCGTAGTATTACGCGCAGTAGCGCTGGCAGGAGCGGGAGCAGCACGAGCAGTAGGTTGATGATGGCGGTGGTGGTGTGCTACCGTATGCGCATGTCAGCATAGCAGGTCGCGGTCATCGAAGATGAGGCGCGCGATCGAGAGACGACTTTGGGGCAAGTCTGAATGCAGGGTTTAGCCATAGACGTTGTATGGATTATCAGGGTTATGAGAACATTCTTCAAACTCTGGCTCGCTTTGGGCTATCCTGAAGGTGTCCGTTGCCCTCAACCCGTCAAACCCTGGTCTAGATCCTGAGCAAAGACTTCAATTTTATCAAACACCTTTTGCATTGCTGCATCCAAGCCTGGTTGTGAATGGCTTCTGGCTCTATCATCTTCTGAGCGGCATCCGGATTCCATTCTTCGCAGGTCCTGAGGTTTAGGGTGTAGGGTTCATTGCTGCCATCTGCAAGCATTTGGCTTTCAGCTCCAACCCCTCTGTGTGCTCTTTCTTGTGCCTCTTCGCCATGACCTGGGTCTACAACTTCGGCTCTGGGAATGCGGACGGCCGAGCCGAGATGAAGCACTCCGGCTAGATGCAAGGATGACACCGAAAGAAAGGGCACTTTGAATGGCGCTTCTATTAGCGGCAGTACTAAGAGGGGTGACATGAAAATGAGATTTTGAAGGTGGACAGGGACAACATACGGATACCATCCGGATGTTCCAGTTTTTTAGGCATTATGCGGAATCCTAGAGGGATTACATAGGTTGAGGCCGTTCAGGTTTTAGACGGGAGTTGCTGCTTAGGATCTTGCCGATTCGACAGGGGAGGGTGCTGAATTTGTCTTTGCCTTTCAGGCGTGAAGCTCAAACAGGTGAGATGGCCTTAGCTTTCCTAAACTGTACCTTCCTCAGCTTCAGGGGGTTGATTGCTGCAATCAGAAGCATTACCATGAGCCTCCCTACTATTACTATGCCGCTGCTGCTACTATACTACTATACTACCATATACTACCACAACTACTGCAGCTCTGCCCCACCTGTGAGTCGTGGATCTCAGGAACCTGCTGGGCGGCAAGGGTGCCAACCTCGCAGAGGCGCAGGGGTGGGTTGCAGGTTCATCGGTAGTCAAAAGCGATAGACGCACTGTCAGCGTAGTTGGACGCAGTTGAAACCATGAAATGAATTTGGGTAAGTTGACACCCGCTTGCAATTCGCCTCGAAGCACCACGAACATAAACCCCCCCCATCCCCCAGTGTTCATGATCATCCTCATTTGTGTTTATGCTTCAGGAGGAGCATGCACATTCAATATCAGCGGGATAGGAATGAGGATGACGGGATTTGAAAGATTGTCAGGCCTTGGATTAGCACCAACAGAAGGGTTAATGGTGATAAGCAGATGGCAGTGTGATGACGGACAACTGTAGGAGCTCAGGTCATCTTCCATAACCAGTGGGCGTGAAGCTCCCCCCCTTGAAATCAGCATGGTCATGATCATCATCAATATCATCAAAGCCGTCATCATCATCATCATCATCATCATCATCCCCGGCACTAGTCGTCGATGACTTGATAGTGATCATGGGCATAATCATCATTGTCCTGGCTTCGTGCTTCGGATGTAACTGATTGCTCCTGCTGCCTTTCCTCTTGCCTTTGCTCCAATCGGTATTTCTCCTCACAAGATATGTGTGTTAAGCGTGCTTTTGTTAACATTTCTGAGGATGAGTTTCTCAGAGTTGTGAGTCCCTTTGTGGACTGAACCCGTACCCCCGTGTTTCTGGGAGCACGCGAGCTCTGCTAGATGGCTTCGATCGGGCTTCCCGTTCCGCCGGGCTTCACCCTGACAACGGAGGCCGCAAAGGGGAAATTGAGTTCTGGGAGTGTCGCATAGTGTCGATGCGGTATATTACATATTTGGTAGTTCCCCTCAAATTGTTCTGCGTGCATCCTGATTGCGTTGCGAAGCCTTGCTGCTTCACTGTGTGATCGAAGAAGCATGGCGCCTTTAGACATACCATTTCATGATGGGAGTGTCTTGCTTTGTCTGAGGTCTGCACATATTACTACCAGAACGACTGCGCCTTGGCAAGGAAACCAGCTGCAGGAGCTTCTTAAAGTTTCAAAGCGGAAATGAAGGGAACACCGTGAATGCAGATTCAGAGGAAAAGACGGAAAGCGAGGACGCTCTTCCTATCTTTTCAAGCTTGTGTTGCTGTGATTTGTATTCCTTTTATCATCAATTGATCATCCTCCTGCACCTCAGCTCTTGGCAAGGCCAGTATCCTGCTGACCTCAAGGAGCAGGTTAAGAAGGCCCTGGCTCTGGTCGAAACAAGGCCAGCTGGGACTTTTTCAGAGGAACCCCTTGCACAGTCCTAAAGCATTAGGTGCACCTATGCGGAGATTCTGAGACATCTTATAGAGCGATCCCCTGATTTGGTCATGCAAGCTGGTTTAGATTCTTGTTAGTTTTTCTACCAATCATGGAGGTGACCTAGGACCTAGAACTCTGGAAGCGGCAAGTTGCTTCGGGATCCCTTTCTGTATGTTTGGCTTCCCCTAAAGCGCCCCTCTTTCAGAACCGGGGGGAAGCTGCAGGGTAGTCCTGACCTCAAAGCCGTGAAGCTGCAGACCTTGAACTCTGAATGTCCAGATGAGTTTTGGTCCAATCTTCAGGTCAGTGTGGCTGGGCTGTAAACAACAAGAGAGGGGAACCACGTTCGGCTTGGTGATGTATTCAGAAGGGGTTCATTTTCCAAGATAGAACATTGAACTGCTAGGACAACATCGTTTCTGCACCCTTGTAGATTTGCATGCATCTACACCATAGTGCACAGACCATGACCGTCAAGGCCTCTAGATTTGGAAGACAGGCAAAGTACAGGCTTGTAGGGTTTCGGTGTGAAGAGTCATGATGATGATGATGGTGATGATGATGATGACGATGATGATGATGATGATGATGATGTCGATGATAACGACCACAATCAAGTCGACTTGCTGACATGAGTTGGGTCCATAGACTGCAGGCCGTGTGTATAGATTGAGTATGACGAACCGAACCTAGTGGGACGAATGTCGTGAAATCTCCGTGCGACCGAGTACCTGAACTGAAGTCTTGATTCGTACAGTAGGCCAGCTATCATTCAGAACCTTGAGAAACACCCTCAAGCTCTGCAGCCTGAAGCTCATGAATGAAGGACTGGGCGCAAGTTCGGGGACGCCGCAAATCCCTTGCTGGTCTCCGTGCGCTCCGGCGCTCGTGCCTCCATGCCTGGCATGATGGACACCGTTGCACGGCTGTCTCAAGAGTTTTGGGCTTAGGGATTGAGGATCCAGGGACCAACTGCCACCATTTAATCATTATGATAGGGGCACGGGGTGTTTGGAGCGTTTGAAGGCATTTAGGGGGCTGTTGCAAAGCGGTGCTGCTACATGCGTTCTGTTGGCCAGGACGGTCGTGCTTTTGGAAGTCGCCTGCATTCATACGTTGCTACGCAAACATTGCAAGTATTTCGAATGTGCTGCCCTGCCAATGCTACCCAGGCGGAACAGGAAACCCGATCGAAGCCATCTGGCATTTGAAAAAACACCAGAGTACAGGGTTTTGGGTTCAAGGTTCACAAAGGGATTCACAATTTTCTGAAACTCCTCCTTCCAAAAAAAAGCAACAGCAGGCGTAGCAACCCCACGTGGTCCCCTTTAAAAAGGAGAATAGATGAGAGTAGTCTTCGGAGAGTCCCTTTTCAGGTTCCATGTTAGGCTTGGGGGGTAGACTCCAAATCTTGAAGCGCTGTCTTTTCCCAGGTGCTGAACTTGGGCCTGAATGACACGACGGCCGAGGCACGCAGATCATTCAAAGATTCTACTCCTCGGCTGTGGGGGTTCATAGCGGATTCTGCGAATGAGTTGTTTGTTCTTGGAACGGAGCGGCAACATGATGTCCATCAAGGGCTTAGTGCCTCAGCAGGCCCTTTTGAAGTCAGAGTCGTTGTCTGGCTTCCAGAGGATTTGGGTTGGACCCCTGAGTTTGTGGCTTTGGGTTGCCTTTCAGGGAGAATTTCGGGGACTGTTGAGGCAACATGGGGTTATTTTGGGGGTAAATTAGGATGTAGGTTCGCGAACTTTCTAGGAACAAGCGTCAGCAGTCCAAAGGAAAACTCTTTGAATTCTCTTTAAGACAACCGTAGATGGACAGTGCCCACAACACATCAACTCACTCTCACAGCGAGTGAGCCAAAGGGGTAGGTGTCGTAGTGGCTGCCCATGACCTCAGCACAATTCCCAAACAAAGTTGGTAGGTTCGGTTATAGCTGGGACAACTACAATCAGAAGCGGTCTAGACCTTGAGCCCTCATCCCAATACAAATCCTTTAAACATGTTAAACCCTATACTAAGACAGCCTCCCCCCAAAGCGCGA